GACAAATGTCCTTGTTATCAGACTGCATGGTTCCGGTGGGAACCGGCTCTGCAGGACAGCGCTGTGCTGGGGAGCACCGAGGAGCGGGCGCCGCCGCGCTCCGGCCGAGAGGCGCACGCAGAGGCGTGACGGTCAGCGGGAGCGTCTGCAGCCCAGCGAGCGGCTTCCTTCCCACTCCGTGCCTTTCTTCCTCTCGCTCCCTTTCTTTTTAATTTGTTGGGGCTGCCTCGTTGCTTTCTTTGCAGTCTCTAATCCCTGCCTTTCTCCTGAGACCTGGCAACATGCCCTGTACATTACGGATTTTTAAACGCACACTTCGGCGTGGTTCTGGAAACTGATCTGCTTTTGTAAATACACAAATAGACACAGAATACTGCATGCGACAGCACAGAGTCGTTTTCCCACACTGAAGTTAATTCTTAGGCAGGCTTTAAAAATGTCTAAGGGATGGGTAGATATGGACTACTTGCTCATTTTTACAAAGCAGCAAGCTTGGGGCAAAGCATGGCCATGTACATACAGAACGGTAGGCAGAGATGTTGCCACACTAAGGGCTACACGCTCATCCTACATAAGAAAAGGCTAAATGCAAATCGACCACTGGTGGTGCAGGAGCTGCCCCCTGGTGGTCAGTGTGCTCCCACAGGGGAGGCGCTGCTGAGCTGAAGCAGAGCTTGGGGCTGGCCAGTGCAGGGGGGTAGCAGGAGCCTCTCCCCTCTCTGCAGCAGCGCTAAGGACGTCCGACTGATGACTTGGGCCCGCTCAGGCCAGGCTGAGGGACACCCACCCCCCCACCACCACCACATGCCCTAAGTGCATGAATTTCATGCACTGGGCCTCTAGTTTATATCTATAAAAGACTAATCTGCAAAGTGTCGCCTTGGGAGTTTGGCCAGGAGACTGGGGGTTTGGTTGTTTGCTATGACATGTGCTGACCACCAGGGTGCGGCGTGGAAGGAAGGAAAGCCCCCACCGGCAGCAGAAAGGCTTCCATTGGCCCCATCGCCAGTCAGGCCTAGAGACCCTGCTCGTGCAGGAGTTTGTGCACCGGGCCTCTGGTTTAAAAATCGTTTCAGATATTTGGCGTATTAATTTAATGATTTATTTAGAAATCAAAATGTGTCCAGGAGGAATAGGAAGTAAGAGCGATAATGAAAAGCCAGGAGGTGGAGAGGGAGCCGCGCCGGGCGGCCGCTGCACCTCACGTGCTCAGAAGCAAGCACGTCCACGCCGATCTTGAGTCTTTCCACGCATCTTGCACTTGGACCAGGAGAGGCCACACCGGGGCCGGGCGGAACGCCTCAGGCCAGCGGTCAGTCAGGGCGAGGGCCGGACCCCGGCGACAGGGCACTCAGAGAGGCGAGCTCTGAGCGCTGGCGTCCGCCTGACGCTCCACGGAGAGCCGTTGCTTCGGACCACCGGCTCACTGAGTCGGGCGGCACCGGGCCGTGCTGCTGTGCCACACAGCGCAGGGAGCGTAGGGAGGCGGTGGCATTGCTCCCTGGCACAGACACCGGTGAAGTGACACCTGGGAATGCGAAGCACCTTGGCAAAGGTCACCCAGAGAGGCACGCACAAGTGCACGTACACATGTGGTGTGCGTGTGCATGTGCGCGTGTGCGTGTGAATGTCCATGTTTACGAGGGCCCCCTGGCAGGAGGGCGCTAACTGCCAAACCCTCTGCGCCCACTCCTGCACTCCTGTGTGTGCCCCTCTGTGTGTCTGTGTCTGTGTGTCTGTATCTGTGTCTGTGTGTCTGTGTGTCTGCATGTCTGTATCTGTGTCTGCACAGGGACTGCCAGTCAGTGAATGTGTGTCTGTTTGTCTGTGTCTGTGTGTCTGTGTCTGTGTGTGCATGTCTGTGTGTCTGAGTGTCTGTGTGTCTGTGTCAGAGTCTGTGTGTTTGTGTGTCTGTGTCTGTGTATCTGTGTCTATGTCTGTGTCTGTGTGTCTGTGTCTGTGCATAGGGACTGCCAGGCAGTGAATGTGTGTCTGTGTGTCTGTGTCTGCTTGTCTGTGTGTCTGTGTGTCTGTGTGTCTGTGTCTGTGTGTCTGTGTCTGTGTCTGTGTCTGTGTGTCTGTGTCTGTGCACAGGGACTGCCAGGCAGTGAATGTCTGTCTGTCTGTCTGTGTGTCTGTCTGTCTGTGTCTGTGTGTCTGTGTGTGTTTGTGTGTCTGTGTGTGTGTCTGTGTCTATGTGTCTATGTGTCTGTGTCTGTGTGTCTGTGTCTGTGTCTGTGTCTGTGTGTCTGTGTCTGTGCACAGGGACTGCCAGGCAGTGAATGTGTGTCTGTCTGTCTGTGTGTCTGTCTGTCTGTGTCTGTGTGTCTGTGTGTGTTTGTGTGTCTGTGTGTGTGTCTGTGTCTATGTGTCTATGTGTCTGTGTCTGTGTGTCTGTGTCTGTGTCTGTGTCTGTGTGTCTGTGTCTGTGCACAGGGACTGCCAGGCAGTGAATGTGTGTCTGTCTGTGTGTCTGTCTGTCTGTGTCTGTGTGTCTGTGTGTGTTTGTGTGTCTGTGTGTGTGTCTGTGTGACTGTGTCTGTGTCTGTGTCTATGTGTCTGTGTCTGTGTGTCTGTGTGTGTGTGTCTGTGTGTCTATGTGTCTGTGTCTATGTGTCTGTGTGTCTGTGTGTGTGTGTGTCTGTGTGTCTGTGTCTGTGTGTCTATGTCTGTGTGTCTGTGTCTGTGTGTCTGTGTGTGTGTCTGTGTGTCTGTGTCTGTGTGTCTGTGTCTGTGTCTGTGTGTCTGTGTCTGTGTGTCTGTGTGTCTGTGTGTGCCTGTGTCTGTGTGTCTGTATGTCTATGTGTCTGTGTGTGTCTGTGTGTCTGTGTGTCTGTGTGTGTGTCTGTGTGTCTGTGTCTGTGTCTGTGTGTGTGTCTGTGTGTCTGTGTGTCTGTGTGTCTGTGTGTCTGTGTCTGTGTGTCTGTGTCTATGTGTCTGTGTCTGTGTGACTGTGTCTGTGTCTGTGTCTGTGTGTTTCTGTGTGTCTGTGTCTGTGTGTGTGTGTGTGTGTGTGTGTGTGTGTGTCTGTGTGTCTGCACAGGGACTGCCGGGCAGTGAATGTGTGTTTGCCTGAACGGCCACACCATTCCCAGCAGGAAAGGGGCTTGGCGCTGGCACAGGCTCTCCTCGGGGCTCCGCTCCTGGAGCCGCAGGCAGGCCGGGGGCGGGGGGCTCCGGGGGCTGTGCCAGCGCGACCTCCCCTGCGGAAGGTGGCACCGAGGGACTGCAGGGGGTGAGCAGGCCAGACCATGCGGGGCCAACCATCATCATGGGATGGATAGCCGGGCAGGCTGCTTAAGTCTCCCGGAGCCTCAGTCTCCCCGTCTGCCAAAGGGGGTGACCATAGCCCGGCACTCAATGAACGTGCTGTTCCCGGCGGCCGGACCGGGCCGCTGTCAGGCCTCCACCACAGCACCCCGGAGCGGAGAGACGGCTGTGTGTTAGCACCGCAGTCAGGAGTTCAGACCGGCGCCCAGTGCCAAGTGCCGATGAAGGTCGTGGAACAAGAAGAAATGACCGCGGAATTAGGACGGGAGAGGCTGGATTCCAGTGGGCAGCCAGGGAGGCGGGGCTGAGGTGCGGGCCCAGACTCACACGGTGGCTCTGGCCCAGGCCATGGCGGCACCGATGAGAGGCCCTGCAGTGGCGCACTACGCGTTTTAGATGCGTTATCTTATAAATCCTCAGTGACCCTGGAGGGGTAACATGCCCATTGCGCAGGTGAGAACACTGAGGCTAATTCCTCCCAAGTCCCAGCCAGAGGGATTCCTAACCAGCTGTGATGGAGGACTGAGGGGAGGAGGCGGCCAGGGCAGGAGAAGGCAGATTCTGAGGCCCAATGAGCTGCTGTTATAGGAGAGGCGGTCAGGCAGAAGAGGCGGAGGAGTGTAAGGCAGACGAGGGGGCCCGATGGTCCAGGCAGCAGGTGCCTGTCTGTTTGGCTGGGGAGAAGCGAGACAGGACAGGGGCGTGAAGCCCTCAGCTGAGGGACAGTTATCCTTGCCTGATGCCACGTTTTCATCGACGTGAGAAAGAAAGATGGATTGGTGCCTCTCAGACCGCCCCACCATGCAGCTGAATATGTGCCCTGACCAGGAAGCGAACCAGCACCCTTTGGTGTACACGATGCAGCTCCAACCACTGAGCCACCTGGTTAGGAGGGGATTTTTATGTCTTAAGGCTGATCTGGTCACAGACAAAATGGAGAAGGGGAGCCTAGTAGTGAGGAGGCTGGTAGTGGGGGAGGCTGGCACCAGGCGGGGGTCAGGGGGCTGGCAGCAGGTGGGGGCTGGTAGGGAGGCTGGGGGACCTGGCAGTGGGGGCCTGGCAGAAGGTGGGGGGGGGCTGGCAGCAGGTGGGGGGCAGGCGGTGGGGGGAATGGCAGAAGGTGGGGGGCAGGCGGTGGGGGAGCTGGAGGTGGGGGGGCTGGCAGAAAGTGGGGGAGCAGGCGGTGGGGGGAATGGCAGCAGGTGGGGGGCTGGCAGTGGGGGAGCTGGAGGTGGGGGGGCTGGCAGAAAGTGGGGGAGCAGGCGGTGGGGGGAATGGCAGAAGGTGGGGGGCAGGCGGTGGGGGAATGGCAGCAGGTGGGGGGCTGGCAGCAGGTGGGGGGGGGCAGGCCGTGGGGGAATGGCAGCAGGTGGGGGGCTGGCAGTGGGGGGGCTGGCAGAAGGTGGAAGGCTGGCAGTGGGGGGACGGGAGGTGGAGAGGCTGGCAGAAAGTGGGGGAGCAGACAGTGGGGGGAATGGCAGAAGGTGGGGGGCAGGCGGTGGGGGAATGGCAGCAGGTGGGGGGCTGGCAGTGGGGGGGCTGGCAGCAGGTGGGGGCTGGCAGTGGGGGGACGGGAGGTGGGGGCGGGGCCGCTCCGGTGGCTCTGAGGAGGGTGCTGTCCAGGGGTGCACCCCGGCCGCAGCCCGCGTGGAGCCCGGAGCTCGGGGGACTGACCCTGCCCTCCCGCAGGCGGAGGCGCTGCCGGCAGCCAGGCCCGGCAGGTGGACACCATGCAGATGGCGTTGGCCCGCAGGGCGCTCGGGCGCCGCTGGCTGGGCCGGCCGGTGTGCCGCCCCCTGCACGCGGGCCCCCGGCTCCGGGCCCTGAGCCTGGCGGACTGCGAAGCCGTGAACCGCGGCGACAGGCCCCTGCCCGAGCGCTTCAACTTCGCGGGGGACGTGCTGGACCAGTGGGCCCGGAAGGAGGAGGTACGGGCACCGGGCGCGGGTCCCTCCCTCCCTGGGCTCTCTCTGGGCCGGGCCGCCTCCTCCAGGCCGCAGGCCGCTCTCCCTCCCGCTCACCAGGCTCCAGCGAGTCCCCAGCAGCTCAGTGTAGCCCTCCCCCCCCCCCCCCCCCCGGTGCTCCTGCGGCTCTCGGAGCCTGGGCCCCGGACTGGCCGGCCGTCACCTTCCCCGGGAGGCCGCCTCAGCCCCCGAGGGTCGCTCGGTTGGCTGGTCCTCACCGGAGGGAGTTCCGTGGATCTCAGGGAGCGGAGGGAGAGGGAGAGACAGACACACCTATGGGTGCCTCCTGCACGCTCTCTGGCCAGGGCCCGGGCGGGGAGCAGCCTGCAACCGAGGTGCGTGCCCTTGACCTGAACAGGACCCGGACCTCTGGTCAGCCGGCCTCCGCTCCACCCACTGAGCCACACCGGCAGGGTGCTGACGCCCGGGCAGGGGTGCGGCTCCCCGGGCAGGGGTACTGGCTCCCCGGGCAGGGGTGCGGCTCCCCCAGCGGTGAGTGACAGGTGGGTGAGGCTGAGTGAGAAAGCAGCTCAGTGCCTCCCATCTGGAGCCCTGAGCTCAGAGGGCTGATGGTTGGGAAATAGTGACCTGAATTGTTTACTAATTCCCATGGCCCGGGAGGGGCAGTCAGGAACCTGACCTTGTAGATGAGCAACTTACCCAAGGCCGCCCATTCCGAGGGCGGAACCAGCCCTGCCCCACGGTCCGCGGGGAGGAGGGCGGCACACCTCACACTGGGGAGGGCGGAGCGGGGCTGAGGGAACAGAGAGAGAGAGGGGAGGGGGCAGGTAAGAGCGCCTGGAGGGCAGGCAGGGCAGAGGCTGGGCAGCACCGACCCCTCCCGGCAGAAGCTCGGTGAGATGCTCCCTCAGAGCCCATCGGTCCAGCTGCCGCTCCTCCCAGCCCCCCGCCCTCTGCTGCCTGGGTGCCCAGGCCGCCCGAGGGTGCACCCCGATGCACTGGCCTGGGCACCCGGGGCCATTTCGGTGGGACAGGATTCGCATCGCCGGGGGGGGGCTGTATTGCAGGGCTGGGGGGGGGGGGTCCGTGCTCCTGAGGACAGAGGCCAGGACGCCCGAGGACACACCGCGTGGCCGCCAGCGGCCGGGGAGGGCAAGCACGGACTGTGCTCAGGAGGAGAGGATCCCCACAGCCCTGGTGCTGTGCCCCAGCCCCCCACGCGGGCGAGGGCGGACCGGGTGTCCCTCCGCCTAGTGGCCAGTCCTGAGGCTTCTCCTCTCTCCCCTGGCCTCGGCAGACAGGAGAGCGGCCAGCCCGGCCCGCCCTGTGGTGGGTGAGCGGCCAGGGGGCCGAGGTGAAGTGGAGCTTCGGGGAGCTGGGCATCCTGTCCCGGAAGGCCGCCAACGTGCTCGCCCAGCCTGGCGGCCTCGCCAGAGGCGACCGAGTGGCGGTCATCCTGCCCCGCGTCCCGGAATGGTGGCTGGTCAACGTGGCTTGTATGCGAACAGGTCAGTGTCCGCGTTAACTCCGTAACCAGACAGGCAGGGCGAGGCTGGAGGGGAGGCTTTCCGATTGTTAGATCCGCCTGGAGTAAATCAGAGCTGACACTAAAGGCAACCGTGGTGTAACAACAACAACAACAACAATAATAATAACAATAATAAAACTACCTTAATAATAACAGTAAACTACCTTCATGATAACAATAACAATAGTGAACTGCCTTTGGTGTTATGACATTATTGCTTTGCAAGAGAGGAAACTGAGGCTCAGAGAGGTTAGGAAGTTTGCCCAAAGTCAGGCAGCTAGAAAGTCCTGCCACTGAGACCGCACACGGAGCTCTGCCAGAGCGTGTGGGGCCGAGGCCTCTTCGCGGTGCTGGGCTGTATCTTGCAATTCTCTGATGTGAGAACACAAAGGAGGGGTGCGTTTTATAACACAAGGGCTTGTGAACACAGGATGGTGGGCCCCGCTGGGAGCCCTCCGCCTCCTCCCAGCAAACAGGTGAGTGATCTCAACCACACGCTTTCTCCGGAGGCGGCACTTACACTGAGCCCCCTCCCCCAGGACAGGCAGCAAAGCCGTGGCCTGTGAGTTTACCATCTATTTTGCTTTGTTTTGCTTTTTGTTTTTAAATATATTTTATTGATTTTTTCACAGAGAGGAAGAGAGAGGGTTAGAGAGTTAGAAACATCGATGAGAGAGAATCATCGACCAGCTGCCTCTTGCACACCCCCTACTGGGGATGTGCCCACAACCAAGTTACAAGCCCTTGACCGGAATCGAACCCAGGACCTTTCGGTCCACAGACCGATGCTCTATCCACTGAGCCAAACTGGTTTCGGCTGTTTTTTGTTTTTAAATATATTTTTATTGATTTCATAGAAGAAGGGAAAGGGAGAGAGAAATAGAAAGGTCAATGATGAGAGAGAATCATTGATCCCCTGCCTCTTGCACGCTCCCTACTGGGGATCGAGCCTGCAACCCAGGCATGTGCCCTTGACCGGAATTGAACCTGGGACCCTTCATTCTGAGGGCCGACGCTCTGTCCACCGAGCCACACCGGCGAGGCTGGCCACCTGTTTTTGTAAGTAAGTTTTATGGTTTAATGACATACCGCCCTGCCCACTCGGTTATGCACAATGTCCGTGGTCCTCTGTGTCCTGCAGCAGCAGAGTTGCTCATTGAGACAGAGCTGGTCCGTGCGGCCACAAAGCTAACTATCTACCCCGGCCCTAGCAGAAAATGTCTGCCAGTTCCTGCTCTGGAGCGTGGCGTGTTTATAAATCAGTGAACAATGAGAAAGAGTGCAGTCTCTACAGGGTCAAATGTTTCAATAGGGTCAAAAGTAGAAAGAATTGGAATCAGCTACATAAAGATGATCAAATAAATTATAACTGACCCCGAGACTAAGGCCTACTGGCGATGTGTTATTGGTACTTGAAATTACAGCACCTCAGCTGGATGGATGTCAGTAAAGGGAAATTATAAGGACGTCATCGTGATGTTTAAAAATGCTCTGACTGCTCATGTTAAATCAAAACAGCAGTACAATGAAGCTGGGATGAGTACATGAAGTTTATGTCACACTCACTATGAAAAGGAATCTGCAAATGTGAGACCAGTGTGGGCTGGAAGAGTTGAAGGCGGCTTATTTGTCATAAAAATGTACTTAGAATTATTTTGCATGACTTATGCCATCTGTGAATTGTGAAGATTAAAAGTCAACCCACAAACTGAATAGTCAAAAGCATTCAGTTAGTTAGAGGTTAAGCAGGCAGCTGGCTGTTTTCTAACAAAATGATGAAGTCTCTGAGTGGATGTGGGAATGCTCGCATCACCACCACCACTTCACCCCCTACAGCAACGTGTTTTCCTGGGGCCGTGAGTGTGTGCCGGCTGCAACCAGCCGAGCGGCTCTCCTCGCTGCCCCGGGACCCATCTCTGTCCAAAGCCGCTGGAGTGCTAGCAGTTCTGAGCCGGTAAGAACAAGTGGTTTGCAAAACAAATGACCTCATGTTTCTGAGGTGAGTGCACACCTGAGACCCTCAAAGGCGACGGCCACCAGCCGGATCTGCCGACCACTGGTGCCCACATAGTCCAAAAGGCTGAAGGCCGCTGCTCTCAGGTGCTTTTTCTTAAATACATTGTTATTGATTGCAGAGAGGGAGAGAGATAGAAACGTCAATGAGAGAGAATGCATGTGTGTGAGTGTGTGCACACGTGTGCATGTATGCGCAATGTGATCCCCTGCCTCCTGCACACTCCTACTGGGGTTCGAGCCTGCAACCCCGGCATGTGCCCTGATTGGGAATCGAACCTGGGGCCTCCTGGTTCATGGGTCAAGACTCAACCACTGAGCCATCCCAGCTGGGCTCCTAGGTGTCCTCTTACTGCCTCATCATCGAATGTTTGTCTGTTTTCTCAAGAGGGGTTGATATGTAAGAGCTTTAAAACATATTCTTTGAATCAAGTCTCCTTCCCAGGAATTCAGCTCTTGCTCCTCCTGGTTAGCTGCCTTCAGGGAACTCACCAGGAACATGTCTTGGGTCCTGGGAGTCTCAGACCCCAGCCTCCGAGTCCACCTCTGCCACTTGCTGACCCGCCCGCAGCCGCTGTCACTGGTTCTCAGTGAGATGCCAGGCACACGGGTGCTCAGTCAGGGCAAGTGGCTCTTCACACACACACACATACACACACACACCCTCACAACACTCACACACACTCACTCACTCACACACACACACACACAACACTCATACACACTCACTCACACACACACACACACACTCACACTCACACACATTCTCACACTCACACACACACACCCTCACAACACTCACACATACTCACACACACACTCACACACACACTCACTCACACTCACACATTCTCACACTCACACACACACACCCTCACACACACTCACTCACACACACACACGCACACACTTTCACATTCACATACACGCACACACATACACTCTCACACACACACTCATACACACACTCACACACACACACACATTCTCACACTCACACACACGCACACACATTCACATTCACACACACGCATACACATACACTCATACACACACATGCACACACTCGCATTCACACACTCATGCGCGTGTGCGCACACACACACACTCATACACATTCTCACACTCACACACATGCACACACATTCACATTCACACACACGCACACACATACACTCACACACACATGCACACACTTGCACTCACACTCATGTGTGCACACACACATACATTCATATACACACACTCACAAGCACACACACGCATGCACACTAACACACACTCATGCACTCATGCACACATGCGTGCACACACTCACATGTACAAACACACTCATACACTCACACAAACTCATACACACATGCACACGCACACATGTGCACACACTCACATGTAAACACACACTCATACACTCGCACAAACTCATACACACATGCACAACACATGCACACACTCACACACATATGCACATCTCACCCTCATACACATTCACACTGTGCACACGTGCACACATGTGTGTGCACACACTCACACACATGCACAGACCATACTCACACTCATACACACACGCGCACACACTCGCATGCACGCACATGCGAGCTCGGTTGCATGCGAACTCTCTCACACACACACACACACACACACACTCAAGCTGCCTCCTTCCTGCTGATTCACTGCAGACAGAACAGCCTCCTTTCCACCACCTGCCTTCACCTCCTTCCCAGCCTCCCTTCTCCACTCCCTCCTAGGAGCTGGCCCTGCTCTGGCCACCAAAGGCTAGGAAGGCTGAGGGCCTGAGGACAGGGGAGCCAAGGAGCTGAGCTGAGGAGGGGGCGGCTGGGATGAGGACGACAGGGGGCGGGGAGCTGGGATGAGGACTGGGGTGGGGGGGAGCTGGAATGAGGATGGGGATGGGGGAAGCTGGGATGAGGACGGGGGAGCTGGGATGAGGACGGGGGAGCTGGGATGAGGATGGGGGAGCTGGGATGAGGATGGAGGAGCTGGGATGAGAACAGAGGGGGAGCTGGGATGAGGATGGAGGAGCTGGGATGAGGACGGGGGAGCTGGGATGAGGATGAGGGAGCTGGGGTGAGGATGAGGAGCTGGGATGAGGAATGAGGAGCTGGGATGAGGACGGGGGAGCTGGGATGAGGATGGGGGAGCTGGGATGAGGACGGGGGAGCTGGGATGAGGATGAGGGAGCTGGGATGAGGAATGAGGAGCTGGGATGAGGATGGGGGAGCTGGGGTGAGGACGGGGGAGCTGGGATGAGGATGGGGAGCTGGGGTGAGGATGAGGAGCTGGGATGAGGATGGGGAGCTGGGGTGAGGATGAGGAGCTGGGATGAGGATGGGGGAGCTGGGATGAGGATGGGGGAGCTGGGATGAGGATGGGGAGCTGGGGTGAGGATGAGGAGCTGGGATGAGGATGGGAGATCTGGGATGAGGATGGGGGAGCTGGGGTGAGGAATGAGGAGCTGGGATGAGGATGGGGAGCTGGGGTGAGGATGAGGAGCTGGGATGAGGATGGGGGAGCTGGGGTGAGGACGGGGAGCTGGGATGAGGAATGAGGAGCTGGGATGAGGACGGGGGAGCTGGGATGAGGATGGGGGAGCTGGGGTGAGGAATGAGGAGCTGGGATGAGGATGGGGAGCTGGGGTGAGGATGAGGAGCTGGGATGAGGATGGGGGAGCTGGGGTGAGGACGGGGGAGCTGGGATGAGGAATGAGGAGCTGGGATGAGGACGGGGGAGCCTGGGTGCACGCCTCTCACCGCGGGTGTGGGTGGCTTCCACAGCACACGCCCTCCCCTCCGGATAGTCACTGACATTGTGATACTGCACGCATGTTCTAAAAGGTGTGCAAACATGAGGTGAAAGGAATTCTATTTCAGTATTTTTTTTTTTAAGTTTTAAATTCTCTTCTCATGCCCTGTGGATTATCTTGCAAAACTCACTTTGGGAACCACTGGTTAAAGGTGTCCATGAGAATGTCAGCAGCGACAGGGCAATGTGAGTGTGGCCGGATAATGAGCAAATGTCCCATGAAACCCGCACAGCTACGGCCCTCTGTTGCGACGCCTCCTGCCTGCCTGACACTCACAATCTCCCCGTTCACCAGGCAGGACAGGGCCCGAGAGGCTCAGTCACAGGCTCACGGTCACAGGCAGGAAGGCCAAGGTCAGCTGTAGGCCGGGGCCTGCGACTCTGAGCACAGGGCGAAGCCGAGCGGCCAGCCGTCTCCGCGGGGACCAGCCTGCTCAGCGGCCTCTCCTCCCCAGGCCTGGTCTTCATGCCCGGCACCACGCAGCTGACGGCCAAGGACATCCTCTACCGGCTGCGGGCCTCCAAGGCCAGGGGCCTCGTGGCCAGTGAGGAGGTGGCCCCCGCAGTGGAGGCCGTTGTGTCCGAGTGTCCTGACTTGAAGACCAAGCTCCTGGTATCCCCGCGCAGCCGGCCGGGGTGGCTCAGCTTCCAGGAGTTATTTCAGTGAGTATCCCACCCCCCCCCCGCTTCCCATCCCCCCCCAGCCGCTCGCAGCCTCCCTGTCCGAGGACTCCGCAGCACTGGGGGCCCATCTGGGATCCTTCCTTGAAGAGGATCGCCTGCTGGGAGTCCTGAGGGCGAGGGAGGGCAGCTCGGTGTCCTCTCCCTGCACCACCTCGGCCTGTGGTGAGTGCTGCTCGTGGCCTCCCTCGTGGCCCACACCTCCCACACACCGGCTGCCTGATCCCTCCGACCCCCCTTTACCCCTCAGCCACGCCCTGCCTCAGGGCCTCTGCACCTGTCTCTGCCTGGGACGCTCCCTTCCTGTCAGATCTCAGCTCGAATGTCTTCCCCTCCTTGAGCCGTCCCGGCCGCCCGTCCAGGCAGGATCCACCCACTCCCCATCGTGGGTGCTCTTCTCGTCACACCCTCGACGCTCCCTGAATCCCGAGTCCAACACTTGCCCCATGTACCGGTCAGCTCCCGTACCCCAGAGATGGGCAAATTAGGGACCGTGAGCCAATTCTGGCAGGGCGCCTGCTCTTGTCAGTAAAGTTTCATTGGAACACGCCACGCGCATTGTCTGCACATTGTGCACATCTCACCAGAGCCATGTTGAGCAGGTGCAAGGAGACCTTAAGGCCACAGCTGAGCTGCTCCTGTGCGGTCGCTACAGATCAGCTCACCGACTCCTGCCCCCTCCCTCCCCCCGGGGCCACGGGCAGGGCTGTTGTTGGCCACTCTGTTCCCTTTCCTCTGCAGTTGGCGTGTGAGCAGTACTTACTGAAGGACTGGCCGGAAGGGGTCATGTCCCCCATTCCCTCCCGTGTGCAAAGGGCATGGCTGCTCTGCCCGGGGTCTCGGGCACTGAGGACACGGCTTGTGTGGGAAAGTGCTTCAGCCTGCGAAGGGCAGGGATGCCGACGGGTGGCCTGACCCCTCAAGCAGCTGTTGGTGGCGATGCTGAAAGCCATGGCTCAGTAGAAATGTGGGAACATGGAACCCTGTCCAGTGACAGGCAGTCTCCTGGGGGGAATGCGGTTTTATCCGAATAATGATGTGAGCCAAGTCCGACCGCCAATTCCCAACCCTCTCCGGGGAGCGGGCGGGGCCCTGGGGTGTGAGGCCGAGTGGAGAGGCGCGCAGAGCGGACGGAGCCTGGGCCAGGGGTGATGGCCGCCCTCCTGCCATCCTCACAGCGAGGTCCTCCGCGCAGGCCTGACGCACAGCCCACGGGGAGGGGCAGCACGCTCCCAACAGAGTGTGCTCTGTGTCCCCATCAGGACCGTGCGCCCTGTGCACGCGCAGTGCAGGAGAACAGGTGAAGGGACAGGTATAGCCGCAGGCACTCGGTCCCTCCGCTCGGGCCCTGCCCCCACCCGGCCCGCGCCGCCCAGAGGCGTCTTCCACGGCGGCAGCAGCCCAACGCCGACAACGGGAAGGCCTCTGGCCCGGGAGGGCGGAACGGGAACTCCCCCCGAGTTCCCCAGGACAAGGGCAGCGCCTCCGGGATGGACGTACGGGCCACGCGCGGCCTCTCTGAACTCGGGCGGAGCACTGGCCTCGCCCAGGAGGCCCAGGCCCTGTTCAGAACCACCCAGCGAGCGGGGCCCAGGCCGCACTGTGAGGCCCGTCTTCTGTCAGGGAGGCCCCTCCTCCTCCGGGGACAGAGGTCCTTCATGCCAGGATGAGGGAGGTCAGAGCATGGGCCAGGCGGCGTCCCCCTGTCCCGTCCCCCTGTCCCGTCCCCCTGTCCCGTCCTCCTGTCCCGTCCCCCTGTCCCGTCCTCCTGTCCCGTCCCCCTGTCCCGTCCCCCTGTCCCGTCCCCCTGTCCCGTCCCCCTGTCCCGTCCCCCTGTCCCGTCCTCCTGTCCCGTCCCCCTGTCCCGTCCTCCTGTCCCGTCCTCCTGTCCCGTCCTCCTGTCCCGTCCCCCTGTCCCGTCCTCCTGTCCCGTCCCCCTGTCCCGTCCCCCTGTCCCCCTGTCCCCCTGTCCCATCCCCCTGTCCCCCTGTCCCATCCCCCTGTCCTGTCCCCCTGTCCCATCCCCCTGTCCTGTCCCCCTGTCCCGTCCCCCTGTCCCCCTGTCCCATCCCCCTGTCCCGTCCCCCTGTCCCGTCCCCCTGTCCCCCTGTCCCATCCCCCTGTCCTGTCCTCCTGTCCCGTCCCCCTTTCCCGTCCCCTTTTCCCGTCCTCTTGTCCCGTCCCCCTGTCCCCCTGTCCCGTCCCCCTGTCCGTCCCCCTGTCCCGTCCCCCTGTCCCGTCCCCCTGTCCCCCTGTCCCATCCCCCTGTCCCGTCCTCCTGTCCCGTCCCCCTGTCCTCCTGTCCCGTCCCCCTGTCCCGTCCCCCTGTCCCGTCCCCCTGTCCCCCTGTCCCGTCCCCCTGTCCCGTCCTCCTTTCCCGTCCCCCTGTCCCATCCTCCTTTCCCGTCCCCCTGTCCCGTCCTCCTGTCCCGTCCTCCTGTCCCATCCCCCTGTCCTGTCCTCCTGTCCCGTCCCCCTTTCCCGTCCCCTTTTCCCGTCCTCTTGTCCCGTCCCCCTATCCCCCTGTCCCGTCCCCCTGTCCCGTCCTCCATGCGGTTCCGGACTGGACTCTGGTCAGTGGGACTGGAGTCGTGATGCCCGCAGGCATGAAGCTGACCCAGAACGAGGCAGGGCTGGCCTCCCCTCTAAGGGCCTCACTGCTCAGCCCGACCTTCACCTACAAGCCAGGGGGCCGCTGACGAGGGTTTGGGAGGGAGTCCGGGTCAGTCCGGGCCTGACTCTGGATGGCGGAGGGAGCAGCGCCGAAGGCCCGCAGGACCTGGCGGTGGATGGGCCTGGAGGACGGGGGCAGGGGCCAGCTGAGCCCTGGCTAACTGGCGGCTGGGCGCGCCCTCGGAGAAGGGTGCCCGCTGGGCAGGCTGAGAGGGCCGTGAACAGCCAGGCCCCGCAGGGAGGTGTGCGTTTCGGCTCGGAGCTGAGGGAACAAATCTGGAAGCATCGGCATGCAATCGGTCCCCAAAGATAGGACTCCGGTCTCCAGGAAGGGGCAGCAGGCCGAGTCCTGCTTGACAATCTCCTGTCACTGCAGCCTGGACTCGCTCTGCCTCAGTGAAACTGAAGCAAACACAGGACAGCACTGTTTTGTGAGCCACGTGGTCATCAGCCTCACTGTTGGCGTTTCCATGGCAACCCTGTTCGGTTCGTCAAGATGAACTACAATGGTGTCCTCAACCCTGTCCCTTCGGCCAGGACCTCAAACCACCACACAAGTCTCACCGCGTGGAGGCGTTTTACCAGGTGTCTGCCGAGCCAACACCGGAACCGCCCCGCGGCCCTCGCCCGCTCACTCTGGCCGGGCCGGCTGGGCACCTCACTGCCCTCACTGCCTGGCTCTCAGCGGGACCTGGGACCAGGACGTCCGCAGGGGGTGCCTGTCCGGCAGCCAGGACCAGGGCGAGGTCTGCGCGTCCACGGGAGCCAAGCGGAAGCCTCAAACAATACCGCTTGTCACCCCACGTGGCTGTGGTGAGAGCCGGCTGAGCGAGTGGTTTGGTGGCTGACAAGGTTCCAGGCCACCTTGGGTGTCTGCGCCCCGGGGCCCCTCGTGGCTGGGTATCCCAGCAGCATCCGAAGGCCAGAGAGGAAGGCGGGGGCAGCCTTTCTCGGCTCTTTCCAGAACAAGGAAAAGTCCCCCAAAAAGCCCCCGAGTCTCTCCGACCGGAACCGCCTCCTGTGCCATCGCTAGCCCACGTCTGGCTCAGGTTAACACGTCTCAGCCACCCCCTCCCGGCCCCAGACCCCGGTGGAGCCATGGCTGCCACTTACCTGACAAGATCAGTTTTTCCAATGCAAGGAGGATGCAGTCTCTGGGAAACAATTAGCGGTGTCTGTCAGCAATATTGAAGATATTAAATAAAAACTTGGATTCAAATACCAAAAATCTCCCTTTAAATTATAAAAACTCCTGGAATGCTAATAACAATGTATAGACTCAAAACTTTTTAAAATTTTCATAAATTAAATAAGTACTGAGAAAAAAATGTTTAAATAAAGTACACATCTCTTTTAAAATATTTTTACTGATTTCAAAGAGGAAGGGAGAGTCATAGAAACGTCAGTGATGAGAGGGAATCATGGATCAACTGCCTCCTGCACGCCCCCTACTGGGGATCAAGCCCATGTGCCCTGACTGGGAATTGAACGTGACCTCCTGGTTCACAGGTCGACACTCAACCACCGAGCCATGCCAGCTGGCATTTTGCTCTTTTTTTTAATTGAAGGTGACCTTGGCCATGCCTTTGGCTACAGGGAGTGGAGCTTAGAGAGGGGTAGCTGTTAACCTCAGCACTGGTCTGCAAACCCTCTCGGGAGGCTTTGGACTAGGCTCTGAGCCATGGACGGTCTTCGGGACCGAGAGGGTGCTGGTGCGAGCGAGACGCGGGTGCTGAGGGGGCTGCAGCGTCAGCCACATCGGCGTCCCTGCCTTCCAGGTGCGCCTCGGCGGAGCACGGCCCCGTGGACACGGGCAGCCGGGAGCCGGCGGCCATATACTTCACCAGCGGGACCACCGGCTCGCCCAAGATGGCCCAGCACTCCCACAGCAGCCTGGGCATTGGGTACACTCTCTGCGGAAGGTAGGAGAAACACCGCCTCTGCGTCTGCCCTGCTTGCTGACACGCGTGTCTGACTGCCTACTGGACAGCCTGCTGCGTGGATAGCGCCCACGTGACATGTACAGAGCGCTCTGGGCCCTGCCCAGCCTGAGCTCCGGAGCGGCCCCTCGGCAGGACCCGCTGGCTCAGCCTCCACGGGAGGCTCCATCTGGCTCCTCTCCGCCAGGTGCACTGACGCGCCCAGAAAGCCTTTCTAGGTGTCCGCACCCCATCACCCACCCCATCACGTCCTCACAGCACATCTCTGTGCGAAACCACCACACTGACTCACCCTGACTCATCCTGTGCCTCCTCCCCGCCTCCTCCTAAAACTGAGCGGAGAGCTGGCCCGTCTGGCTCCCTCTGCTGGGAGAGGGTGCCACCAGACAGTGTCTGCTCAGTAAATATCTGCTGCATCAATGGACACGCTCAGAAAGGTGTCCAAGCCCAGCCTCCCACCAGGTTCACACACCCACTCTCAGATCCTAGGGTTCTGTCTTCCACCAAAGTGGGAGGTAGGCGAATTGGTCTCCTTGGGGCTTCTTTTGACCCTTCTTTGTGGTCACTGAGGTTCCTCCCAGTCCCCGAAGGTGCCAGTCTGTGCTCCCTGCTGCTCTGTCTGCCTGCTCTTCTCCATCTGCAGGCACTGGCTGGACCTGAAGCCCTCGGACACCATCTGGAACCTGTCGGACACCGGCTGGATCAAGGCGGCCATTGGCAGCGTGTTCGCTCCCTGGCTGCAGGGAGCCTGCGTCTTCGTGCATCAGATGGCCCAGTTTGACCCGGACACGCTCCTAGATGTAAGTGGTGACTTCTAGCTGCAGCTCTCCTTTGTCTGCCCCCCAAAAAGAGAGAAAGGGGTGGATCCCCAGAAAAGGGGGGGAACATGGATCAGTTGCCTCCCACACATGCCTGACCAGAGATGGAAATTAAACCTGCGACGTGGTAAGTGTCCTGACTGGAAATGGGGCTTGCCACCCTGGGTGCTCCGACCCATGGTACACACTAGCGGAGCAAAGTTGCTTCTTGGTGAGACACAGACTCATGGGCTTTTTTAAAAAAATATGGAACGCCTCACGAATTCGTGTGTTCTCCTTCTGCAGGAGCCATGCTAATCTTCTCTGTATCATTACAATTTTTAAAATATATTTTATTGATTTCTTACAGAGAGGAAGGGAGACGGATAGAGAGCTAGAAACATGGATGAGAGAGAAACATCAATCATCTGCTTCCTGCACACCCCCTACTGGGGATGTGCCCGCAAGCAAGGTACATGCCCTGGACCAGAATCGAACCCAGGATCCTTTAGTCTGCAGGCCAAAGCTCTATCCACCTTTAATATATTATCTATACTAATAATAGAGTAAGATGCAAATTGACTGTATCTTTGCGATGCCCACCAGCCAATCAGGAGTAAGTATGCAAATGAACCCAACAAATATGGTGGGTTAATTTGCATATGCAGGTGCCATGGCAATGACATAGGTCTCTGGGCAGCATGGGAAAGCAAGAAGGCGGCTCCGGCCAGAGCAAAGGCCGTGCTGGCAGCCAGGAAAAGGAAGGCCCATTCTTGCACAAATCTTTGTGCATTGAGCCACTAGTGCTTAATATAATATTATGTAAGATCTATTACTAATATATCGATTGTTAATATTATTCATTGATATATTAATATAATGATAGGTTATGCAATTTATCATATTTAATATAACAGTACATAAAATATTAAAATAAGGACATTCTTGCCCTAGCCTGTTTTACTCAGCGGTTAGAGCGTCAGCCCTTGGACTGAAGGGTTCAGTTCTGGTCAAGGGCACCTACCTTGGTTTCAAGCTAGATCCCTGGCCCCAGTTAGGGTGCATGCAGGAGGCAACCAATCAATGTGTCTCTCTCTTATTGATTCTCTCTCTCAAAAAAAAAAAAAGAAAGAAAGAACATTCTCATTTTACAAATACAATGTGTGCATTTTAAGTGCTATGAAAGTGTTTGTGGATTTACACTATTCTTAGTCAGAGACATCCACTTACTGAGACCAGCTGGAACCCAGGAAGCAAGCACACACAGTAGAAATGCTTGCTTACAGGCAAGAGTCATACTTGGTCCGTGACACCCAGGTGGCCTAGACACCCATCTGGAGAGCATGCTCCCCTTGCTTACATTCAATGCAGACGGACCCTTGGTCATGGGGCAGAGTGGCCCTGTCTAGACAGAGGACCTTGACACATGAGTGTTTCTCTGGACGTGTGATGCCTTTGGTTTTAAGGAGCTCGGGCATACTGAGCCCTGCCAGCCTGAAGCAGCTAACCAAAGGCCTGGGAAGGCCTTGCTCATGCATTACACCAGTCCACTCAACAGGACCGAAGTCTATAGAAGCAGGGCTGGGAAGGCATGGGTAGGTTCGTTTACAGAGCCGGGTCGGTGCTGTCCGGGGGTCAGCACTTCAAAGTCCCCCAGGAGAGGTCTTTGAGGCCCCAAAGTAGAATAAACCAGTTTGGGGTGGTTCTCAAATTCAACAGTTCACCTTTTGTTGAATTTGATTGTGTATGTCTGTTACTGTAACATATACATACTAGAGGCCCAGTGCACAAATTTATGTACCAGTGGGATCTGGCCAGCCCAGCTCCATTCAGGGTGGATGAGGGCTGAGCCTGTTGGGAAGAGGAGATGGTGGGAGGTTAGCCAGCCAGCCTGCCTGGATCAGGGCCTGATCAGGGCCCCCCCACCCACACCCCCCCCATCAGGGCCAGGCCAGCTGGGTGAAGGGGCCGAGATTGGCCAGCAGGCCCTGCCACTAATTGGGGTGGAGGGCAATCAGGTATGGGGCCAGCTTGAGAGAGGGGCTGGGGGCCAATCAAGATGGTAGGGGCCCATCGGGGGCATGGCTGGCTGGCGGGGAGAGGCTGCAGAAGGTTGCCTGGCCAGCCCTATTGGGTGGGTGCAATCAGGGGCGAGCCTATCATGGGGGCAGGCTGATCGGAGGTGCGGCTGGCTTGGGGAGGGGAGAAGGGAGGGGCCTTTGGTCGGCAGGTCCTGCTCTTTATCGGGGTGGGAGAGTCTAATCAAGGACGGGCTGGCAGGGGAGGGGTTGAGAGGTTGGCTGCCAGCCCCACCCCCTGATCGGCGGGTTTGGTGGCCACAGTGGGCATCATGGCAACCGATTGTTAGGTCGTTATGCCTTTTTATACATATAAATTCCTTCCAATAACTGAAAATTCCCTACAGTCACTAGTATTTGCTTTGTTTTCCCTGTGAGATGGACACAGAGGACCTGGGGCTGTAGACATCAGCTCTGGTTGTGGCCTCTCAGCAGCCACATCCGACACCTGCGTCTCTCTGTCGTGCAGACTCTCACCACCTACCCCATCACCACCCTGTGCTGCGCGCCCACCGTGTACCGGATGCTGGTGCAGAAAGACCTGGAGAGGTGCGTGGGGGAACCTCCATCCGCTCTGCCAGCCAAGCTTACGGAGCCACACCCTCTCCAGCACCCTGTGGTGTGGAGGGGGAGCGGCGCCCGGGCCTCCACCCACTGGCCCGGACCCCCTCCGCAGCGACCATGGCAAGGGTCTGGGAACGTGCCAAAGCAGGGCGTGCCCTCCCGGCCAGGGCCTCCGGTGTGCACAGCGGCACTCACCGGCCAGGCAAAACTCCCAGCTTAAAGATCACCCACCCTGTTCGGTCCAACATTTAATAACTCACCCCAACGCCTTGGCAGGGCCAGACCCAGTGATTTCGTGGGCCAGACATGCCCCACTCCTGCTGAAATCTCCGGGAAGTGGGGACAAAAAGGCCCCCAGTGTAAGAGCAACAGGGGGAGCCAGCACCGGTTTGGCTCAGTGGATAGAGCATCGGCTTGTGGACTGAAAGGTCCCGGGTTCGATTCCGGTCAAAGGCATGTACCTTGGTTGCGGGCACATCCCCAGTAGGGGGTGTGCAAGAGGCAGCTGGTCGATGACTCTCTCTCATCGATGTTTCTAACTCTCTATTCCTCTCTCTTCCTCTCTGTGAAAAATCAATAAAATATATATATTTTTTAAAAAGAGTAACAGGGGGAGCCTCAGGGGACATGGAGCATTTTCCAGGGACAGCCAGAGCCCTACAATTCCATCCCCCTCCCGCATCCCCTTCCCTCCCCGTACCCCCTTCCCCGCGCCCCCTTCCCTCCCCGCGCCCCCTCCCCGCGCCCCCTCCCCGCACCGAAGAGACAAGAGTACCTCGTGGCCGTGGTGTCAGCCTGGGAGCACCTGCCTGTGAGGCCTTGCGGGGCTCTCAGCCTCAGTTTCCCCCGGAGAGGGGCTGGGGCTCTGAGACTCTGCTTGAGCCCTGCACCACCCAGCGCCCAGCCCGGCCAGCACGGTCCGTCCCGGCGAATGCCCACAGCCTTCCTCCCAGCCCACTAGGGCCGCCCTCCCCTCCCCCCTGCACCCGCACCAGCCCGCCAGGGCCCCCATCCCCTCCCCCCTGCACCCGCACCAGCCCGCCAGGGCCTCCCTCCCCCTGCACCCGCACCAGCCCGCCAGGGCCTCCCTCCCATCCCCCCTGCACCCGCACCAGCCCGCCAGGGCCCCCCTCCCCTCCCCCCTGCACCCGCACCAGCCCGCCAGGGCCCCCCTCCCCCTGCACCCTGCACCCGCACCAGCCCACTAAGGCCTGCTCTGCAGGGAGCTGCCAGGGAGCTGGTGGTGTACAGGGTAGAACAGCAGGGCAAGGCGGAGTGCAGGCACAGCCCATGCTGCCCACAGCCCGTCCGCTTGTCGCTAGAACATCCCCATGACCTTGTGCAGAAAGCCACTGAGGTCCCCCCCACACCCAAGACCTCACTGGCTCTCTGTCCCTCAGGTACCAGTTCCTGCAGCTGCGGCACTGCCTGACGGGCGGGGAGCCCCTCAACGCAGAGGTGCGGGAGCAGTGGAAGCGGCAGACGGGGCTGGACCTGCACGAGGGCTACGGGCAGACGGAGGTGGTAGGTACCGGGCCAGCTGAGCCCGTCCTGCTGGAAGTTTCCAGGGTGCCCCTTCCCTGCCAGCAGCTACCCAAGCTGCTGCATTGCCAGTCCGGGCTGGAGGGGATGGTGATGGTCCTTAGTCTTCCTGACTCCTCCTGCCTCGAAGTCCGGGGTGGGGGGGGGGGTGCAGAGGCTTACTGCTGTTGCTGTTGTTTCTTATCGATTGATTTGGAGGGGAGGCATTGACTTGTTCCATTTAGCTGTGTATTCGCTGATTGAGCCTCATGTGTGCCTTGTCTGGGTCGAACCCATACCCTTGGCATATCGGGACGCCGCTCTCCAAGGGAGCTCCCAGCCAGGGCTCCGAGCTCTCTTCCACCGCCTCCGAGGACCGGGAGGTGCCGCCTAGAGCCGTGGTCGGCAAACTCATTAGTCCGCAGCGCCAAACATCAATAGGACGACTGACATTTCTTTGGAGAGCCATATTTTTTTAACTTAAACTATATAGGCAGGTACATTGTTATTAACTTAATTAGGGCACTCCTAAGCTGGCTTGGCTAAAAACTCAAGGGGCCAAAGAGCCGAATGAGGCTCAAGAGCCAAGGTTTGCCGACCACTGGGCCTAGAGGAATGGTCTTCCCGGTGTGGGCCTCAAACCTGCAGTGTGAGCAGCATGTGGGAATTGGGTAGAAACACAAATCCTCAGAATCCTCCTCCCCAGACCCACTGAGTTAGAAAGTCTGGGTGGGCCCAGAACCTGCGTTTTAACAAACTGCAGGCGGTTCTGACAAACACTCCGGTTTGAGAACCACCAGTCTAAAGTGCTTTAGCAAATGAGCTCGCATCCTGGGAAAACTGGGAAAAACCGAGTCCTGTTGCATTGTCGCGTATAAACAGCCGCTGAAAAGGCGCCTCTGTTGCTTATGGAAGATGTGCTCCCCACAGGGCATCATTTGTGCCAACCTGAAAGGGCAGGACATCAAACCGGGCTCCATGGGGAAGGGCGTGCTGCCCTATGACGTCCAGGTGGGTGACATCCGGCCGGCTCAGTAAGGAACGGTGCAGCGTCCTCCGCTGATCAATGTAACGGTTCCCGGCCCATTCCCATTGTGGGAAAAGAAAACTTAAAGAACCTACATTGATTCTTTCATTGCAGATCATAGATGAAAACGGCAACATCCTCCCAGCCGGCGAAGAAGGAGAGATCGCCCTCTCGCTGAAGCCTGCCCGGCCCTTCTCTTTCTTCTCGGAATACGTGGTACGAGAGCGCAGTGCACGCTCCTCAGCTTCCACAGGAAAGCTGGCGGGATTCACAGGCTCGGGCCCAGACTTACCGCCAGGTTCTGCGTGGGACCCGGCAAGCCCCCGCCCCGGCCTCCTCTGTAAGGGAGAGACTCTGTCTCCGCAGTTTTTTGTAAACGTCAGCCTGCGCGTTAGGCACCGGGCGGCTGTCAGAGTACGGACAGGCTGCTGGGGGGCGAGGCCCTAGAGCTGAGGTGACGTGTTACACCCTTGGGCCTGTTCCACACCAGAAGCTGCTTGTGAAGAACTCCCTTCTTCAGGGTTAGGCTGTGCGGGTGTCAGCCGCTTCGTGGTGCCTGCTCTGTTCTGACCACGTCAACCCCGTGCCGTCTGATTCCCAGGACAACCCGGGCAAGACCGCCGCCACGGAAAGGGGAGCCTTCTATGTCACCGGAGACAGAGGCGTGAGGGACAGCGACGGGTACTTCTGGTTTGTGGGCAGAGCCGATGACGTCATCATCACCTCGGGGTTGGTACAGCGGCGGCGGCCGGAGGGGCCCCGGGGGGGGGGGGGGGGGGGCGGCCGGTGCTGCAGCCCCGCCTCTCCCAGGTACCGCATCGGCCCCTTCGAGGTGGAGAGCGCGCTCATCGAGCACCCCGCCGTGGTGGAGTCGGCCGTGGTCAGCAGCCCGGACCCCGTCAGGGGAGAGGTGCGTGAACGCCGGCGGCTTCACTCGTCCAGGTCCCGCCCGTGTGGCAGAGTGAATCAGAGCGCCACGGAACTCAGTATGCGCCACACGCGGCAACCTGTCACTGTGTCCCAAAGGGGAGGGATTGGATTCTTTTGGTGGCGAGTGACAAAAATGCAACTCAGACTTTTTTTAAGGAATGTATTGCTTACCAGTGAGGCCTACGGACAGCCCACCCACGGCTCACATGCAGTTGGCAAGCCCTGGCGTCTCCATTCACTGCAGCGGCTCTCACCCTCCTAATGCCGGCCCTCAACACAGCTCCTCCTGGGGCAGTAACCCCCCCTCCTAATGCCGCCCCTCAACACAGCTCCTCATGGGGCAGTAACCCCACCCCTAATGCCGCCCCTTAACACAGCTCCTCATGGTGCAGTAACCCCACCCCCCTCCTTAACACAGCTCCTCCTGGGACGGCGACCCCCCCATACTATCGTTGCTACTTCATCACTAATTCTGCTGCTGTTACGAATCGTAATGTAAATATCGGTTTTCCGATGGTCTTAGACGACCCTTTCGTTCAGCCTCCAAAGGGGTTGCGACCCACAGGCTGGGAACTGCTGACTTACTGGCTCTGCTGTTCTCATGGCGCCTCCATTGGGGGCCGGTGGGGGGTGGAGGGGGGCGGTTACTCGACAGCAGCCAGGCACGGCTTCCCCGCCTCAGGGAAGGGTCGGCCTCCTTGCCAAGTCTCCAGCAACTCCCGGAGCCCGCGCCTGTTCGAGGTGTCTGCCCGGCGGCCGGGTGGTGACGCGGGCTGCCAGACCAGCTCATGTGCTGGTCACTGAGGCAGGAGGCAGGGCCAAGGGGTTAGGGTGACCCTCCTCAGGAGGCTCGGGGCAGCTACCCAAAGGGGGAGCAGACTCTGCACCAGCAGACATGCACACAGTCATGGACTTAGAACGTTTCTCACAGGAGACCTGGCCGGGTTGCCAAACAAGGCGATGCAGGAAGCTTGGGGATGACGGCAGGCTCGGCTCTAGGAGGAAGCACATGGGATGGAAGGGGGCCTTTCCTCACAGACGTTTCCCACACTCAGTAGGGCAACCCTGGACCACTCTACTCAGTGGGTTCCTGTCTCCAGAACACTGTCCCCCTGCCACCATCTTCTCATCCTCTCACCATAACTGCTTTCAGCTGAACTTCAAAAGGAAACACAAATTAGAGTCAAGGTGTGAATTAAATGTCAATCACACTTGCTAACCTTAATAATTACCTAACTGTGGGTCTTAAATAGTATACAAAGTGAAAAATAGCAGGCAAGCAAGACCTTTCAAAGTAGCTCAGTCCTCCCAGCGATCCCATCTCCCGGCAAACACCACCCCTCCTCCTCCCAGCCTTTCACACACGTTCTCGGAGCCGCCACTGCCACTCACGCCCCTGGCGGTGCAGGTTTGACAGTGAGAGGGCACCTGTGAGACTGCAGTGCAACACAGTGTGGCCTGCGAGTAAGAAACCATCAGCTTTACTGAACTCTGGCTCCCGCTCAGACCGTTCCTGTGGGCTAGCCCTCCAGCCTCGCTGAAATCCTTTCACCACCGTCACAATTTGACGCAAAAAAGACTTTCTTTCTTGCCGTTGAAGCAACATTGCCGTTCAGACTCAGAGGGGAATCTGGCTTCGCTGCACTCACCCCTCGGCTGCTGTTCCCGAACCCTGAGTGCCTGGGGCCTGAGCGGCTTCCCTCTTCCTCTCCTCCCGCAGGTCGTGAAAGCTTTTGTGGTTTTATCTGCGCCCTTCAAGTCATCCGACCCCAAGCAGCTCACGCGGGAGCTTCAGGAGCACGTGAAAAACGTAACCGCACCGTACAAATACCCACGGAAGGCAAGTACTCTGCCCCAAAGCTAAGTGTATGCGACCAACCAAAGGGTCTCAGCTAGGAAGTATAGACTAGGTGTACCAGTCAATAATGCGGATTTTGTAATCAAAGAAAACACAATAGTTTCAAGAGAAACATCAGAAGTGCTTTATTCAAAGTAATGTCCATCGCTAGCTACACATTTCCCCCATATTTCAGGTAACTGGTGGGTACCGTCCCAACAGAACTTTTCTTGTTTTGAGGCAAACCATTCAGAGACCCAATTTTCCACTTCTTCGTACATTTTGAAGTGCTGCTCAGACAGTCCATGTGCCATCGATTGGAACAAGTGGTCATTTGAAGGAGCAAGGCCTGGTGAATACAGCGGTGGGCTAATACTTCCCAGGCAGGATCTTTTAATGTGTCTTTAACTGGTTTAAAGTGTGTGATGGTACGTCATCATGAAGCAAAATTACCTTGCAGTGTCATCTGGTACATTCTGGTGGTTTTATGATCAAAGCATGGTTCCAATTGATTATTTGATGTAGGTAGCAATCAGTATTAACAGCTTCTCCTGGGTTTAGCAGCTGATAATACACTACACCTTCCGGATCCCCCAAATGTCTTCTTTCCAAAGCGATTCGGCCTGGCAGTCAATGTTAATGGTTGACCTGATCAACCCATAATTTTGTACGTTTGGGATTCTCAAAATAAATCCACTTTTTATCGCCAGTCACAATTTGATACAAAAAAACTTTCTTGACGTTGAAGCAACATTTTATGGATAAACATTTATTTTTTGTTCAGTGGATGTGGCACCCATTTCCCTTCCTTTAAAATCTTTCCCATTGCTTGTAAATGATTAGAAACTGTTTGCTAAGCAACATTTAATCTTTCTGCAAGTTGTTTTTGAGTTTGATTGACATGCATCTTCATCCAATAATGCTTGTAATTGTTGGTCTTCAAATTTTTTTGGTTGACCTGGATGTTGTCTTTTAACATTGAAATAATCACTTTTAAAACGTTTAAACCAGCGTTCACAAGTATCTTGAAATGGAGCATGTTCACCATAAGCTTCCCAAAGTATACGATAACTTTTACTCAATCTATTGAAAAATCCACATTATTAACTGGTACACCTAGATCTTGTTAGCTTTTTATTTAATTTTAATTTTTTTAAATCTTTACTGTTGAAAGAATTAAATATGTTCCCTTTTTTCTCATTATAAACAGAAGATATACATTTCAATTTGTTAAGCTCTAGGAGCTTTGCTTTAAAATATTTTATACTAGGACACTACAAATGCTCAATAAACCAGAAATTTTAATTAACTCTCCAGTACTGAGGAACTAGTAAGAAGCCTCAAGGACTAAGTCAGTCCCATTCCATATGAGGGGGGAAAATGGTGGCAAATTATTCCTAAAGACAGTACCGGATTCAGCTCCAGAGTGCTTGTGCCTAATATACTTGGAAATTCAAAGCATAGGCCTTGAACTGTCAGTTGGAATCAAGTGTCTCACGATGTTTTGGTGACCAGGTGGAGTTTGTGGAGCAGCTCCCGAAGACCATCACGGGGAAAATCAAGCGCAACGTCCTCAGAGACCAGGAGTGGGGGCGGACATAGCCGGACGGAAGCGAGGGGGAAGTACCGACACAGTGGCTTTGTTTCCTGGTGGTTCAGTGACAACTCTCTTAAAATGCTAAGATTTTTCCTGGCTGAAAACTCAACTGAATCCATGTTTTGTACTTGGCCAAAAAATAAATAAAATCTAAATATTGGGAAGAAAACTGTTATGATAACTAAATCAACACAGGCAATGACTATGATTAATAGTGTTTAAAATTGCAGGGATCAAATGACTGCTTGGAAATATAAAATGAACAATGAATTTATTTTGTGCCTGATTAAACAAAAATAAAGATTAGAAGTATTCTAAGAGAAAGACAGAATTCTGCTTAATATTTTTATATATTAATAATTCTTTAAGAGGGATTAAAATATTAATGTTAAAACAAGAAATAAATACGTAATTCAAAAGCCAGTAAGTAAATTTAATTAAGTACTGTATTAGTAGTTATCATTCTGAAGTAAATTCACTATAAAATACCTGAAACTTGGACCACTTAAAAATAATTATTAAAAATAAATTTTTGTATCCTTACATGTTAGGACAGTGTAATAACTTTTATCAATACACTAGAGGCCCGGTACACAAAACTCATGGCCTAGGCCTGGCCAGCGATCAGGGACCATCAGGTTCCCCACCTCCTGCCCTCCTTCCCTTGCTCCCTCAGTGCTCCGCCGCTGCCACAGGTCACCGGCCATGTTCCGCACCACCCCCTGGTGGTCAGCACATGTCACTGCGAGCAATCGAACTCCTGGCCTCCTGGCTGCACTCCAGAGGTTAGCCTTTTATAGATATAAAAGACAATGTGACATATAAATATCGTTTGCTCTGTCTATACAAAGCAAGAGATTTATTAAGAGGCAGAAAGAGAAAAAGAGTACAGAACACCAATCTTTATGGAACAATTTTATTTTCATTTTTTCTAAAAATATCAGAAACTATAAAAAAAAAACCTGGATATTTAAATGGCTGTACCAAAATCAGCACAAGTAAAACCGAAGCAATGCAAGTAGAATAACATTCAGAAATCATGTTTCATTAGAGAAACATGTTTGAAAGAAGCAAGTTTAATGCTCCTTTTCTCCACAGAACAAAACGAGTTTACTGGACCACACCACCACAGGGTACTTTTCAAAACTGACACAATTTTTTTAAAAGGAAAACTTAAAGAAAGCATTCAATTCTAACCTGGAACCTTGTCACTTATAGAATAACATGCTTAAGTGTCAGTGAACATGAAGTTGGTAACCTTGAAAATGAGTCTCACTGGATGAACTCAGATTCCAACAGAACACAGCCCTTCCAGCGGGGAGGTCAGCTCTGGTCACACTCAGGTCTCCTGGACATAAACACACACGGTGGGGAGTAAAACAAATGGCTACACCTGGATCTTCCTGTAGTAGCAGCTTTCACGAAATCAAAGGGACCCCGCTCCGCAGGTGCAGGTACGGCCACTTTAATTCCAAGTCCCAGAGTCTGGCACTGTTGGAATAAAAATAATCTTTGACTTGGAGCAAGTCTGATGAAAGCACCAGAATCCTATCCTGTTCCCCAAAACGATACTTTGAATGCTCTTATCATTCTTTCAAATTAACTTCAACCTATTAGGAGATGGCATCCTAAGTATGTAAAGACATGTAGAGAAGTCCTGGCCTCGCCTGCATTAACAGCCCTGTCTGTTCCCCTGGTATGGTTTGCCAACACATGCTCACTAGTCCCTAAACCAGCGGCTCTCAACCTCTTTCACGACCATCAGAAAACACAGATATTTACATTACGATTCATAACAGCAGCAAATTACAGTTATGAAATAGCAACGAAAATGGTTTTATGGTTGGAGGTCACCATCACATGAGGAGCTGTGTTAAAGGGCCTTGACATTAGAAAGGCTGAGAACCGCTGCTCTGAGGAAACTGTCAGCGGGCTGCTCCTGTGAGCACGTTATGCAAGCACAAGAAGTTCAGAAACAAAACTTTCAGTAGCAATTTTATATGGAACCCCAGCAACAGCTCGCAGAATCCCGTAGAGAAGCTCACCTCCGACATCAAATGACTGTTCCTATAAGAGGTCCTTTTCATTCGACTCAGATCCTTCTGTGACTTGACTTGCAAGTTCAGGTTTAGCTTCTCCCTTGTCTGCCACCTGGGTCTCAGACATAGGTTTTGCCTGCCCCTGCTCCTCACTATTCTCTGGCACCTGCTGGTCATTTTTTCCTTCTGCTGGGTCATTCTGATTTGATCTGTCACCAGCTTCCGACTTAGCTTCTTCCCCATTTCCTTGGGCTGCCTGTTTGGGGTCAGGCGGCCGTGGGTCCGGAGTGCTCTTGGCCACCTCCTGGAGGTTATACTTCCTGAACAACACGTAATCCTTCACAACACTCAGGCAGCAGACGGCTTTGATGATTTCCACTACCACTGTGTACTGCGGGTTGGTAAGATCCACTTTGTTTTCCGAGTTGAGGCTTCCTACTATTCCTGTAACAAAAAGAAGAGGGAAAAACAGGCTGAGAGGACACCGTGACGCTTCATGGATACAAAACATTCTTTCATCTCTGCCTGGGACTTGTTAAACCAAAGCACGTACCAGGCCCCTCTTCCACACAGGCTGTCACATACCCTGACTCTTTCAAAAATAAATACAAATGAAACCCTAAGACATTTAATAAGAGGATTTATTTTCCAAAGAAAAATTTAATCTTGGTTTGGAAAAGTCTTAATATAAAACTATCAGAAAACCTCATATCCAACATACTGAAATCAGTTAGGTTTGATATTATTTTAAAGATATTTTAATATATTTGCTCTACACTAAAAAATGTAAACCATAAACCTTTAAAAACTTATTTTTTAAAAATTATTTTTTTCAATTATAGTTTACATTTGATATTATTTTTATTAGTTTCAGAAGAACAGTATAGTGGTTTGACAAACACATAATTTATGTAATGGTCCCACCAACCCCCACCCATATTGCCCACTTGACCTCATTCATAATCATACTAGTGGCCCAGTGCATGAAATTTGTGCAGGAGGTGGGAGAAAGGTGTCCCTCAGCCCAGCCTGAACTGTCACCAATCTGGGACCCCTCAGGGGATATCTGACTGCAGATTTAGGCCCAATTCCACCAGGCCTAAACAGGCAGTTGGACATCCCTCTCACAATCTGGGACCATTGGATCCTAACTGCTTACCTGCCTCCCTGCCTGGTCATCCCTAACCACTCTGCTCGCTTGCCTGATCACCCTCAACTGCCCCCCATGCCAGCCTGCTTGCCCCCAACTACCTCCCTGCTGACCTGCTCACCCCCGACTGGCTCCCCTCCCCACCAACCTGATCATCTCCAACTGCCCTACCCTCCTGGCCTGATTGCTCCTAATCACCTCTGCCTCGGCCCCACCACCATGCTTTGTCCGGAAAGACATCAAGAAGGTCTCCTGGTCTAGTTAGCATATCACCCTTTTATCATTATACTAGAAGCAATTGCAGGAAGATTCGTGCTAGAATGGGCTTTCCTTTCCCTGGCTTCCAGCACCACCTTTCCACTCTGGCCCCGCCTTCCCACGCTGCCCAGAAGCCCTAAGAGATAGGGGGGTGGGGCAGAGGCCTGCATCCTGCCCGTCCCATCACTTGGTGCCTGTGTATGCAAATTACCCGCCATCTTTTTTTAGTTAATTTGCACATCACTCCTGATTGGCTGGCGGCATAGTTATTGTTGACGACATTCCTTACGTGGTACTTTACATTCCTGTGACTATTCTTTAATTACCAATTTGCTTCTTAATCCCTTCACTTTTTCACCCAGTCCTCCAACCCCTCCCCTCTGTCAACCATCTCTGTTTGCTGAACCTATGAGTCTCTTTAGATTTATTCTGTTCTTCAGATTCCACATGTAAATGAAATAAGGTATTTGTCTTTTTTTTTTTTTAAAGGTCTCTCTACTACATGGAATCTCTCCATTACTTTTTAAAAAAATATATTTTGTTGATTTTTTACAGAGGAAGAGAGGGGCTTGGATAGAGTTAGAAACATCGATCAGCTGCCTCCTGCATCCCCCCATCCCCCACCACTGGGGATGCAACAAGGTCCATGCCCTTGACCAGAAACGAACCAGGGACCCTTCAGTCCTCAGGCCAATGCTCTATCCACTGAGCCACACCGGTTTCAGCTGGTATTTGTCTTTCTCTCTTTTTCACTTAGCATAATATCCTCTAGATCGGAGGTTCTCAGCCTTCCTAATGCCGCGGCCTTTTAACACAGCTCCTCATGTTGTGGTGACCCCAACCATAAAATTATTTTCGTTGCTACTTCATAACTGTAATTTTGCTACTGTTATGAATCGTAATGTAAATATCTGTGTTTTCCCATGGTCTTAGGCGACCCTGCTAGCAGTTCTCATCCTATGGTTCGTGACATTAGGAAGGTTGAGAACCACTGCTCTAGATCCATCCGTGCTGTCGCAAAAAGTACAACCCAAGTAGTGCTCCATTGTGTGTTATGTAGATGTATCATAGGTTTTTTACACAGTTGTTTATTGATGAGCACTTAGGTTGCTTCCATATCTTGGAAGTAATGCTGCAATGAACATGGTAATGCATATATTCCTTTGAATTAGTGTTTTGGACTTCTTTGAACATATTTTCAGAAGTGGAATCATCGGGTCATAGGGCAATTCTTTATATCAATAGATGCAGAAAAGCATTTGACAAAACTCAGCACCCATTTATGATAAAAACTCTCAAGAAAGTGAGAGCAGAGGAAACATATTCTATATAACAAAGAGGAAATATGTAAATTGACCATACCTCTGTCACAAAGATGGCAGCACCCACAGCAGAGGCAGGGGGTTTCCATAACACAAGATGGCTGGGCCCACAGTGGAGACTGTGTTCCCTTAACGACCAATCACCAGGGACCTGAGGCTGCCCCCACCCCGCCTGCCCTGTGGGGCTTGACGGGAGACCTCAGGCCACGCCCCCCACCCAGCAAGGTTTGATGGGGGAACTCAGGCTGTGCCTCCCACCTTGGCACCGGGCCGGGGGACCTGAGGCTGCACCCACTGCCCAGTGGGGCTTGACAGGGCATCTCAAGATGTGCCCCCTGCCCCAGTGCTGGGCAGGGGGACCTCAGGCTGCTCCCCCACCCCCACGCTAGGCCAGAGGACCTGAGGCTGAGCCTGCCGCCAAGTGGGGCTTGACGGGGGACCTCAGGACGCATCCCCCACCCGACATGGCTTGACAGGGATCCTCAAGGAGGGCCCCCCACCCTGGCCTGGGCTGTGGGACTTGAGGCAGCATTTCCTGCCCGGTGGGGCTTGACAAGCCCAATAGGGGGAGGGAGGAATGGCCAGCTCTGGATCTTGCGAAATTATGAGGTGCACATGGGTGGGCAGGGAATTGACTTATAGTGAGCCCCAGACTCTGACAGGAGGAAGATTTTCACATGCATTTTACTAATTTTCTTCCATCTCTGACACTTCTATTATAGAGAAAGGGCAAATAGCAATATTAAAGTATTTCCTCTAGGAGAAACAAAGATGGCAGCATAGGTAAATGCCTAACTGCAGCCTCTCACAATTTCAAAATATACAACTAAAATATAAAGTGGAGGAGGAGGATCCAAGATGGCTGCACAGGTAAACACCTAACCGCAGTCGCACCCAACAATTTCAATAAAATACAACTAAAATATAAAATGGACATTACCCAGAACTACAGGAAAGTCGACTGACTGGAAATTCTACAACGAGAAGCAAGGAGGAAACCAGAAGGAAGTGCGGAGGAGCTGGAAAAGCCTGAGGTACGGAGACACGCGGCGCACGGAGAGGACAGAGCCGGAGAGGAGGGGGAGGCTGAGTGCCTGGCGGGCGTTCCCTAGCGGGAAGGAGATAAAAGCTCTCGCCCAGCCCCACTCAGGGCCTGCCAGCCTGGGGGGAGGAAGGCCACAGGACGCTGGCTGGCCGTGGGAAGGAGGCTGTGGGAGCGCACTGACACCAGGGGGCAGCTCCTGTGTTGAGCGTCTGCCCCATGGTGGTCAGTGCTCATCATAGCGACTGGTCAACCGGTCATAATGGTCACTTAGGCTTTTAAATATATAGATAATGATCTATCAGTTAGAAAAATTAAAAACACATCCATTTACAACTGCATAAAAGATACCTAGGAATACATTTATTTTAGTTTATTAATTCTAGAGAAGCAGGAAGAGAGGGGTAGAGAGATAAGAGGGAGGGAGGAAGGTGGAAAGAAAGAAAGAGAGAGAACCATGGCTGTGAGAGACATGTATCAATCTGTTGCCTCCCATTCTTGCCCCAACTGGGGGTTGAACCTACAACCTAGATATATGTCCTGACTGGGAGTCAACTCCATGACCTTCTATTGCATGGGTTGACTATCCAACCAAATGCCTCACACCAGCCAAGGCCCTAGGGATAAATTTAACCAAGGAGGTAACAAAAAATGCTAACACATTGAAGATACTAATAAGTAGAAATATATACTGTGCAATCTATAGATTTAATATCATTCCTATCAAAATTCCAATTCATAAGTAGAATAATCTAAAAGCTTGTATGGAAACACAAAAGACCCAAATAGCAACAGAAACCTTTTATTTTTTTAACTGATTTTAGTGAGAGAGGAAGGGAGAGGAGAGAGAAAGATAGATGTAACAGAGAAACATAGATCGGCTACCTCCCATATGTGCCCTTACTGGGGTCCAAACCCACAACTTGGATATATGCCCTGACCAGGAACTGAACCCACAACCCTTTGGTGCATGGGACCACATTCCAACCAACAAAGCCACTTGGACCAGGATAGCGACAGGTATCTTGAAAAAAGAAGACAAAGTGGGAAGTATCACACTAGCTAATATCAAACTATACTACAAAGCTATTGAAATCAATACAGCATGGCACAGGCATAAAAACAGACATAGATCATGGAACCAGAGAGAGTCCAGAGATAACCCTCTCCTCCCCCCCCCCCAATCCAGGCAGTTAAATCTTTGATAAAGGAAGCAAGAACATACATGGGACAAACACAGTCTCTTCAATAAATGATGCTGGAAAAATTGGATGAATAGATGAAAAAAAGTAAAAAAAGAAAAAGAAAAGAAAACTAGACCACTTTCTTATTTCATACATAAGAATAAACCAGCCCTAACTGGTTTGGCTCAGTGGATAGAGCGTTGGCCTGCGGGCTGAAGGGTCCCAGGTTTGATTACGGTCCAGGGATTGCAGGCACATCCCAGTAGGGGGTGTGCAGGAGGCAACTGATCAATGTTTCTTCCCATGGATGTTTCTAACTCTCTATCCCTCTCCCTTCCTCTCTGTAAAAAATAAATTAATTAAATATATATTTTTTAAAAAATGAATAAACTTAAAATGGATTAAAAACATAAATTTAGAATCTTGAAACCATAAAACCCCTAGAAGAACACAAAGGAGTAACATCTCAGACGTTTCTCTAGAAATATTCTTCTGACATCTCTTCTCGGGCAAAGAAAAAAATAAATAAATGGAACTACAGCAAACTAAATAATTTTGTACAACAAAATGAAGAGACAATTTACAGAATGGGAGGCATAATCACCAATGACATGTCTAGTAAGGGATTAATATCAAAATTATGAACAATTCAGACAATTCAAAACCAGAACAAACAACCCAATTAAAAAGTGGGACCAGCCAACGTGGCTCAGTGGTTGAGGGTCAACCTATGAACCAGGTGGTCAGTTTGATTCCTGATCACTGCCCATGCCTGGATTTCGGACTCAATTCTCAGCATGGAATGTGCAGGAGGCAGCCAATCAATGATTCTCTTTCATTATTGATGTTTCTCTCTCTCTTCCTTCCTTTCTGAAATCAGTAAATATATATATATATATGTAAAAGTAGGCTGAAGACCTGAGTAGACACTTCTCCAAAGATAACACACAGGTGGCCAATAGATACATGAAAAGATGCTTGCCGAAACCGGTATGGCTCAGCGGATAGAACGTCTGTCTGCGGACTGAAAGATCCCAGGTTCGACTCCGGTCATGGGCATGTACCTTGGTTTCGGGCACATCCCTAGTAAGGGGTGTGCAGGAAGCAGATGATCGATGTTTCTCTCTCAATGATGTTTCTAACTCTATCCCTCTCTCTTCCTCTCTGCAAAAAATAAATAAAATATATTTTTTTAAAAGAAAAAGAAAAGATGCTTAAGGTCACTCATCATCAAAGCAATGCAAACCACACAACAATGAAATATCACCTCACACCTGTCAGAATGGCTATCAACAATAAATCAATAAACAAGAGCTGTCCAAATGTGGAGAACAGGGAGCACTGTTGGTGGGAATGTAGACTGGTGCAATCACTTTGGAAAACAGTGGCGTTTCCTAAAAAAAATTCCGTACAAACAAGAACCAATGTAAAATCACTGAGAAATTTACCTGCCAATTCTTTGATAACTTCTTCCCTATTCACATGACTGTTATTTCGAGCTTTATACACAATCTGAAATGTCCCTTTATTTGGAGCTTTAAACCAGGGTTCCAAAAAAGTTTCTGCATATTTTTTCATATCTTCTAAGAAAGCCTTGCACGTGCCCGAGACAGGTAACATTCGCAGAATCACGCGGCTCTTCTTCTTCTTGGTTGTGTGCATGTCCTGGAGAATGTGATGCACCAGCTTCTCAGGCTCTACAGGAAAAGGAAAACACAGCACGCAACTTGAGAATCTAAGTTTTCGGACATTTCAAAGCCTCTTCAAACTCTCTAAAATGAATTTTCATCGTCAGTGACATAAGTTGACAATAGAGTATAAGATGTGATCATAATGAATTTTAAAAAGTCTAACCAGCCATGTTTTCGAGCTAGTATTTCTTCAATGCCTACTATGTACTAATGCCATATCTAGCATTGTAACTCTTCAGCATTACTGCTGTTACCAAAACAACTGTTCAGGAAGATAGCGGAATTACATTTTTATGCTATTTGACTTATTCAAAGATAAAACCATACTGTTTTCCTATAAAAAATGGCAACTATCTAAATAACGAACATTGAATAGTACACATTTTACAAAACAAGAATCTGCAAGCCACTTAAAAAGGTTTCATTACTCCAGAAGCTAAGTGTGTACATAAATCCTGATCTCAGCCTGGAGGAGCCGCAGCCGTGACCCGCAAGGCCAGGCGGTGGTCCTCAGTCACATCCTAACATGCAAATCTGACGGGCAGCTCAGTGCTTCCTACACGTTTAAATTATTTAACTGCATTTTAAAATCTAGAAACTTCTTTTGAAAAATCAGACCAGGACCACATTCCCTAGTGTCGGAAGCCATTCCAAATGGGCTGGAGCTGGGCAGCGGCTGCCGCTTTTAGACAGCGCATGTATTTGTTACATACAAAGAAAATGGCAAGCCCGTTTCTACTCCTGAGCCAAAGCTAGTCTACCCCCTCCTGCCTTTCTAGGCCTCTGCTGGGACTGCATGGGAGCAGAGCTCTGGGGCAGGGAGAGATCACAGGGCCGGAACCTCAGGGGATCGGCCAGACACACCTATTCCGAGCGTCCTGATGAAGACGACATTATTCGCTCCGCTCTCCACGGACTGGAATCTTCTCAGCCTCATCTCCGCGGACGCTTTAATGTCACCCACTTCTCTCTTCAGGGCGGCCTCCGCATCGTCGTCCTCGCCCTCGCTCCCGGAGCGCTGCTGATCCTGGTCTGTAAACTGTTTGCACAAAACTGATGAGCAGAGCAGCGGAGAGCTCGCGTGGAAAGCCAGAATAAACCACTATGTGAAACCCAGGGGCAGGCAGCTCTATATTGACACAGAACTTTTCACTTCTTCCAGAGGGAGGACTGTGGTGCTTGTCATTTAAAATGTTCCCAGTCAGGGGCGGAGAGAAATGTGACCATCGGATAAACCACTGAGGGTGGGCCTTCATCCCACCCCTGCTACCTTTGTGCTGACTGTCCCTGGTGCGGTGGACCATGCCGTGGTGGAATTAAAAAGGAACTTTTCGTGTTGTAAGGAAGAGCAGAACAACTGAAGGAGCCTGCTGGCGTGGCAGCCAGAAAGGAAGGCCAGCTCTGCCCCTCACGGAGCTGCCGTCAGCACCGGTGAGGGCCCACATGGGCCCACATTTCGGGCCTTTGCCACGCATCCCACGCCCGGGAGGTGTCTATGCACATAGGCAGCTTTTTAGTCACCTCAAGAAGTGCTGTCAGCCGAAACCGGTGTGGCTCGGTGGACAGAGCATCGGCTTGCGGACTGAAGGGTCAAGGGCATGGACCTTGGCTGTGGGCACATCCCCAGTGGGGGTGCAAGAGGCGGCTGATCGATGTTTCTCTCCCATCGACGTTTCTAACTCTCTGTCCCTCTCAGTTTCTCTCTGTGTAAAATCAATAAAATATATTTTTAAAAAAAAAGAAGTGCTGTCACTACCCTGTTACCTAAGTCAGCAGAGTAACAGGACGCCCGGAACCAGCCCTCCCGCATCACACGCCAGGCCAGACCCTAAGCCAGGAACGTGATGACGGGCAAACGGCGAGGGCAGTAGGTTCGAGGTGCTGCTGGCACCGGTTCTTCCTCAGGGAATGTGTTCGCACACGCAGTGGAGCAGCCGCACTGACACGGGCGCCATCGGGACAGGCACTGCCACAGCCCAGCGCTGGCGGCAGCGCACGCCGGGCCGCGCGGCCCGCAGGCCAGCTTCCGACCCTGGGCCGCCCCGCCCCGCGGCCCGGCTCCGGCGGCCCCGCACGACGCAGGCGTCCGCACACACAAGCCCGGGCCGCGGGGAGAAGCCGCGGGCGGGGCCGCCGCGGGGAACAACCGGAAGCGCCGGCGGGATGGCGGCACTTCCCGCCAAAGACCCCACGCGCTCCGCCACCGACCACGCCAGGGGCGGGGCGTCAGCGGGCACGCCCGAGCCACGCCCCTCCCGTAGGCCACGCCCCGCCGGCGCAGGGCCCGCGCAGGCGTCTGGCGGCCCGGCCCGCGCCGGCCTACCTGCTCCGGCCCGTACAGGTCGTCGCCGTACTCGCCGAGCAGGCTGTAGGCTTCCTCCACGCACTTGCGCTCGTTCATGTTGCAGGTAATGAGGACGCCCTGCAGCCCGGGCTCCAGCTGCCGCGGGCCCGCGCCGTCGCCGCGCCGGGCGCGCTTGGCCGGCAGGTACTGCGCCTTCCCCTTGCGCTTCCCGCCGCCACGCGGGGCCGGCTGCGCCGGGCTGGCCATGGGCGCTGCTCCCGGCGGCGCGGCCACCCTCCCGCCGCTGCGACCCTCCCGCCGGCGCCGGTGCCACTCCGGACGCACGAAGTTCCCCGGAGCCCGCCTCCGAGCTGCTTCCGGTCGCGCTGGTCCTAAAGCCCGCGGCCCGGTGGGCGGGGCGGGGCGGCGCCGGCGCCGGCCCCGCCCCGGAAGGAGGCGTTCCGGGGAGCCGCGGCCTCACCTTACAGCCGGTCTCTAAGGGCATCAGGTGGAGCTTGCAGAGCCTGGCCGCATTTACGTATTCATATTCACTGACTCACTGTTGATTAAGCGCCAGGTCCCAGGTATCGCCCTTTGCTGAGGCGGAGGCTGTTAAAGAGCCAGACACACCCACTGCTCCCGCAAGCCGCCATTTCCCGGAAGTCAGCGGGGCCGTCCAAACATCCGGCCTGTTTCCTGCTCCCTTTGAAAGGTGCGCTTTCAACAGCCTTTCCTTTAGCTCTCCTGGCGCAGGGCCCCAGCCAGGGTGCGAAGAGAAACAGGGCACAAAGGACAAGGGTCTCCTGCAGTCGGAAACCTGATTCTCACAATTAGCAATAAAAAATAAAAGGAACCTTACCCAGACTTCTTACCATTAAATTGTCTCTATGGGAACATTTTAATTTGTGAAATATATTTATATTAATACCAAAAATACTGTCTGTCAGATTCTTCACACACGTTTATTCGACACTGGCCTTACAACAGGGACAGTAAGTACCCTTTGGGGAATTACTGTTCCAGGGGCACTTGGTCTGGGCAGGAAACCACATTCCTCACCTTTGGTTCTAACCCACAATCTACCAGTCTTTCCGAAAAGCTCGTCAACACTGATTTTTTGCTTCTTCCTATAGTTTGAGAGCAGCCTTTACTTTTCAGAATGCCATTGGTGGCGATGGCATAGCACAGGTTTCTAGAGGTCCTTGGTTTGGCTCAGTGGATAGAGCGTCGGTCTGCAGACTGAAAGGTCCCAGGTTCGGTTCTGGTCAAGGGCATGTGCCTTGGTTGCGGGCACATCCCCAGTAGGAGGTGTGCAGAAGGCAGATGATCCATGTTTCTCTCTCATTGATGTTTCTAACTTTGTATCCCTCTCTCTCTATAAAAAATCAATAAAAATATATTAAGAAATTGGTAGTTACAAAATAGTCATGGGATGTGAAGAACAGCAGAGGGAATATAGTTAACAATACTGTGAAATAGTGAAAAATAGTCTCACTAGGTGGACGGTATTGCTGTGGTGTCAGAGCAGAGAAAGAGCTGGCTGAAACTGTTTTATTTATCCTTTCATCCTAAGTGCCTAACAGAGTCTTGTTCATATTAAATAACAAAAAAATGTTGTCAAATTGAATTAACACACACACACACACACAAAAAGATAATCAAGGAAAGGTTAAGAAGGAAAATACATCCAATTGCTGACCTCACGGAACCAAGCTAGAAAGGGCATTGGTCTCTCTTTCTTCTGACTACATTTCAGTTGCCCATATACTGCCCTCTGGCACCAGGATCTTAGAAATTAGCAAACAGATAAAAGTAAAAACACTATATAGTTTGAGCCCCAAGCCCCAAGTATATATTTTTCAATTATGATTTACATTCAATATGATTTTGTAATTAGTTTCAGGTATATAGCATAGTGGTTACACATTTATATAACTTATGAAGTAATGCCCCTAAAAAGTCTAGTACCCCTGACACAATACAGTATTTTTTTTTTTAAATCAGTCTTTATTGTTCATATTATTACAAAGGTTCCTCATTTCTTCCCCCCTCCACCAGGTTCCCACCCCACCCTCTGCCCTTTCCCCACCCCGCATTGTCCTCATCCATAGGTGCACAGTTTATGTTCAGTCTCTTCCCGCACCCACCACTCGCCTTTTCCCCGAGAATTGTCAGTCCATTCCCCTCCCATATCTCTATTATAATCAACATTGTTCATCAGGTTTTTTAATTTCCTTGTTTTTTTTTTAATTAATAAACTTTTATATTTTTAAGAATAAAATTTAAAATCTAATAATTTTAAACCTTGTTTTTTCTGCCCTGGGAACTGAGAAGCAAACTTGTTTACATGTAAACTTGCCCTTAGCCATTCAAATGTAAATGAACACATTGATTAAAGATAGCTGCTGGCTGGAATTGGATTACCTGTTCTGGGTGGGAAGGGCTTGTCCTCCCCTTTCTCTATTAAAATTAAGGTGTTAGCTTTAAAACCTCTTTTTGGCAAGAGACCTTAAACTTTCAGAACTTTAAATTTTTCAGGTAGTAAATCAATTACTTAGCATTTTCTCAAATCAATAATACCTCCACATGCCCAAGGATACACTTCACACAAAAGACACTTACAAATAGATCAACCAACCTCATCCAGACCCCACACAAGGCACTCAACACCTCACCGCTACAACAACTCAACACATCCAGATCTAAGCCTTCATCACTTGATTCAGCAGACCCTCAAGTTCTCCCAAAAGTTTCCAGCCATGTCTGAGAAGCAGTCCTGGGGCATGGGCAGGCAAGGAGCGAGCTGTTCCGGGCCTGGTTGCTCCGGGCCTGGCCTCTGTTGCTCCGGCCGCTCCACAACCAGCTGCTCCTGGTTTGGTCGCTGCTGCTTGGGGCCTGGTTGCTGCCACTCCGGGCCTGGCTGCTTCTGACCTGGCTGTTCCGTGCCCGGCTGCTCTGGGCCTGGCCACTGCTGCTCTGAGTCAGGCTGCTCTGGACCTGGCTGCTCCGGGCCGGCCGCTCCCAGCCTGGACGCTTCCGGCCTGGCTGCTCCGGGCCTGGCTGCTGCTGCTTCGGGTCTGGCTGCTCACGACCCGGCTGCTCTAGGCCCGGCTGCTTCAGACCTGGCCGCTCCGGGCCTGGACAATACATTATTTTTAACTATATTCCCTCTGCTGTTCTTCACATCCCATGACTATTTTGTAACTACCAATTTCTTAATATATTTTTATTGATTTTTTATAGAGAGAGAGGGATACAAAGTTAGAAACATCAATGAGAGAGAAACATGGATCATCTGCCTTCTGCACACCTCCTACTGAGGATGTGCCCGCAACCAAGGCACATGCCCTTGACCAGAACCGAACCTGGGACCTTTCAGTCTGCAGACTGATGCTCTGTCCACTGAGCCAAACTGGTTAGGGTTCAATTTTACTTCTTAATCCCTTAACCCTTTTCACCCAGCCCTTCAACCCTCATTCCCTCTGGCAATTACCAATCTGTTCTCTGTGCCAATGAGTTGGGTTTTGTTGTTTCATTTTATTTCTATATTCCACATATAAGTGAAATCTTAGGGTGTTCTGTTTGACTTATTTTACTTAGCATAATACCTTCTAGATTCACCCATGCTGTCCCAAATTTTAATATTTAATTCTTTTTTATGGCCAAGTAATAATCACATATATATAATTTTTTTATCTTCTCATCTAATGATGGACACTTGGGTTGCTTCCATATCTTGGCTGTTGTAAATAACACTGAAATAAAAGTGTTTTCCGTTTCTTCAGATAAATACCCAGAAGAGAAATTGCTAGGTTTAAGGCTATTTCCTTTTTTATTTTTTGAGGACTGTTCTCCACAGTGGCTGCACCAGTCTGCATTCCCACCAGCAGTGCATAAGCGTTCCTATTTCTCCACATCCTCAGCAGAACTTGTTCTTTGTTGATTTATTAATGATTAGTGGCCTAGTGCATGAACTTCGTGTACATAAAAGGCCCGGTGCATTAAATCCATGGGGGGGTCTCGTCCCTCAGCCCAGCCTATATCCTCTTCAATCTGGAAGCCCTCAAAGGATGTCCAACTGCCCGTTTAGGCCCAATCCCACTGACATCTCTCTCACAATCCAGGACCACTGGCTCCCAACTACTCGCCTGCTTGCCTGATAGCCCCTAACTGCTTCTGCCTGCCAGCCTGATCACCCCTAAACAGTTCGCTGCCAGCCTGATTGATGCCTAACTGATCCCCTCCTGGCCCAATTGCCCCTAGCTGCCCTCCCCTACAGGCCTGATCACCCCTAACTGCCCTCCCCTGCTCTCCTGGTTGCCCCCAACTGCCCTCCCCTGCAGGCCTGGGTCCCTCCCCAACTGTCTTTCCCTGCAGGATTGGTCACCCTCAACTGCCTCCCTTTACCACCCTGGTCACCCTAACAGCCCTCCCCTACAGGCCTGATCATTCCCAATTGCCATCTTGTGGCAGCCATCTTTGACCACATGGATGTGGCCAGCTTGTGTGTTGGAATGATGGTCAATTTGCATATTACTCTTTTATTAGATAGGATTGCTATCTATCTATATTACCCTTTCTCTATAATAGAAGTGTCAGAGATGAAAGAAAATTAGTAAAATGTATATGAAAATCTTCCTGCTAGCAGAGTCTGGGGCATGCTGTGGGACCCAGAGTCAAGTCCCTGCCCACCTGCAGCACCTCAAAATTGTGTAAGACCCAGACCCAGTTGGCTCTATCCATATCAAGCCCCACGTGGCAGGGAGAGGGCGGGGGGGGGGGGGCCCAGACTCAGGTCCCCTGCCCTGGCCCAGTACCTCTCAGCCTCCTTAAGGCTCATTAAGGGAACTCAGCATCTGCTGTGGGTGCAGCCATCTTGTTTATGAAAACCCCACTTCCCCTGTGGGCACCGCCATCTTTGTGATGATGTGACAGTCAATTTGCATATTCTCTCTTTATTAGATAGGAAGGCCATCTGATAGGTATGAGATGATATCTTATTTTGGTTGTGATTTGTATTTTTCTAATCATTAGTAACATTGACCATTTTTTTGTCATATCTTTTGGCCATCTTTATGTCCTCTTTGGTGAAGTGTCTATTCAGGTCATTTTTTTTTAAGTTTGTTTGTTTTGGTGTTGAGCTGTATGAGTTCTTTATAAATTTTGGATATTAGTCCCTTATCGGATGTATCATTGGTGAATATATTCTCCCATTCTGTAGGTTGTCTCTTCGTTTTGTTGATGGTTTCTCTTGCTGTGCAAAATTT